CACCACCACAAAACGTGGTCGAAACGGAAACGGAAAACCGAGCGCCGGGCCTTGTTCGGGTTCGATTCGCCTGAGGTTGGCAAGAAAACCCTCCTAGAAGCCTGTGACTTGTTTTTTGAGGGCACCCGAAATTGTTCTTGTCTGTGTTTTTCTTTCGGAAAACCAAAGAAACCAACCATGTTGGGGCTCGTGTTTTAAGAATCCGCCCCTCCCCCCACCCCAAATGGAATCGGTTTTCATTTTAGTTTCCATTAAACCAACCGAAAAATGGGTGTCATCCAAAAACAGCACGCAAATGGGTCTTCCAGGTACCCTTGCAAGGATTCGCATGGGTGTAAGTGCGCGTCCGAAAACCGTGAGAAGTTTGCTTCAACTGAAAACTAGGACCTACCTGGAGTCTCCATGATCCTTAAAAAATGGGGTCATTAGCCAAAATCATGGGGTCATGGACCCATTTCTAACGGGGTGAATGACGCAATTCTCCAAGCCCGGTTTTTCGAAATCCCCTTTACCCAAATCGAGGAGACTGCGCCATCTACTCTCAGCCAAAACTTGCGAGGGGGTTCCTGAACGGAAACAAGGATCCCTTTATGTTGGCTCACCCTGGGTTGAAAGAAACGTCCAAACTGGTTGGGCAGGGAAGCAACCGAGAAAAGAACTTCAACGGGACTCAAGAGCTTCCAACTGAGGTGTCGCATAAATCTATTGGAAATGCGCGGCATTGACGCCGTGTTTTAAGCAGTTCGTATGAATCCCGCTCAGGGTGACCAAATCGCTGTCGCTCAGTGGAAACGCCATCAAGTTGAAACCCCGACAATACCACCAGAAGCCCCACTCAACAGGCCCGTCCGCGTTTTGACTCCTTTGGCTGCTCATGGCCCCGTGGCAAATGGAAGCAACGACTACTCACTTCCTGAGTGGATTCGCAAAAAACAGTCTGAACTCTCGATTTACCACTAAAATGGTCCCAAAAAGTCTTAAAGTCCAGGAACAAAGGGAGCAAGACTAAACCCTGCATATCCCGGGTGCTCATTCATTTTGATTTCCCAACCCATTTCCCCACCCGGTTCATTTCGCCGGGGTCTGAGTCTATGGCAAGCGAGCTTTCCATTGACTTCCACTGGAAATCAACGGCATGTAAGCTCCCAGGTCTCTGCAAACCCGCCAAATCCAACCAAAGCAAACCAACCCAACAAAAGCAACAAAACCAATCATACCAACTGTACTAACCATACCGAACCAAACCAACAAATCAACATAAACCACAGAAAACACACACACACACACACCAACTAGCACCTCTAAAAGGCATAGCCCATTTATCAACGCTCACTTGCTGTGGATTCTCACTGTAGCACCTGCAATTTTCATTCTGCGGGGATCCGGGAAACCCCAGCCGCCCAACTTTTCAACTTATTCCTTGCAACAGCGATTGGGATGTTCAAGCTACTTGGCAAGTAGCTTGCTTCATCCAGGGTTGTAGGCTGGGGTTGGTTGTCTCACAACCTGCAAGCATACGTTATAACCTGCTTACCTGACGCAGCTCAAACATCCAAGCAGCTTGAATCCGGCGCACTCAGCACACGCAGCAGTCAGCACGCAGCACTCAGCTTGAATTCGGAGGTTCTGACAAACAATTTATGCCATCCAGGTTTTAAAAACCCGTTTGCCATCCAGTTGGGATGTTGTCTGACCCCACCCGCACCCTCTCCCCCCACCGGCAACGCAAAAGCACCAAGCCCTGCTACGTGCCAAGGCACCAAGGCACCAAGGCACAGCGACACTGCATCTTGAACATAAAACCCTTTTGAGACGACCACATCTTGAGCTAACAAATTGATTGGGACATTGGTTTAAAACTATTTCTGAGGCGAAACAAAGCACTTCAAAGCGAAAATGGGATGGAACTGACGTTGAGGGGCAGTCAATAACGCTATGACATTAGTATCTTCAAGGCACACTTGCAACAGAAGCTTACTGAGAGCCTGCCCTTTGCAGCCTTAAAATCCGTATTCGGAATCTTTACAACCCTTGGCTGTGCTTTTTGCAGCCCGCCAAACATTCACAGAACCAACAAACCAACAAACACACAGTGAACATCCCAATCCCCACCTACCAACCAAAATGGGATCCCATTGGTTTTGAACCATGGCCACTTGAACCACCAGGCCGACGCCCCTGCCTACTTTCTCGGCCGCCTCAGTGGCGGCGGGCTTTGGCGCCTTAGAGCGGGGGCTCACACGGGGGGCAACCACTCGAAGTAGCATCCTACTGATGGTTGCGAAATCCATTTCGCATCACTTTGAAACATGGTTGAAAGGTATTTACAGGGGAATCATCATTCCAGGGAATCTTAGGTGGCGCGAAATGGATTTCGTCCATCCACAGTGGGTACTAAGTCTAGGTCCTCCAGTAGAGAGGTTAGAATAAGGGTACCCGTTCTTCTGTAGTCTATTTTAGTAGGGGAACCCTCCCCCAAAAAAAAGTAAAAGGGCGCTACTGGTAGCGACTTGGGCTATAGATCCCTAAAAAGGATAACCCCACTGAATGGGGCTTGTAACCTAGCTTATCAACAAGCTACTAACTTGGCCGAACACGCAAGTAGGGTCTTCCCATCTCTTGAGCAAAAAGTCGAGCACCTTTTGTGTGGAAAGGCCGTCTTCCAGAAGTTTCTTTTGGGGCAATTCGGTCACAAAGACCGCCTCGCCACGTCGGCTATGCGACATACCCAGGTATTTTGCAGCCCTTTTGAAGCCTCCGGAACCCTGAAAGTTCCGAACCAGAGAGGCTGGTAACTCCGTCGGGTGCCAAGACGGCCTCTCATCACCACAGGACAGGACTCCCAAGGCATATAGACGTAACTCAAGGATTCACAAAAGACCTCAGCAGGGTAGAACTGTCAAAGTTGTGGCTCCACACAGAAAAAAAAACATTCCTGAAAAGACAGGGGGGCCAATCCAATGTTCTATCGGGTTCTTCTGACAGGGTTCCGGACCAAAGGCCATGCTGCGCGCCTGAACTTCTTTTTCCGCTTCTGCGCGGAGTCCCGGAGCTCCCTGGTGGCTCTTTGAGGCCATCGGACTCCCTGCCGGCTGAAAACGGAAACACACCCGCGTATCGTGGCATAAATCGATTGGAAACACCGCCACCCAAACCATCGGGAGGAATCAAGCGCCTGGTTTGCACCCGTAAGGGGGGATTGTTCCACATGGTGGACCTTAAATTTGCCGGTAGAAATCTGAATCATGAATGTACCCCGGCTGTGCTTGTGACCATGGCCTGGGTGGCAACATCCAAGCAACAAGCATCCGGTTCCTTCTTCAAACCCATCTCAGCCGTCCGGCTTGGTGCCCTGGCTTCACGCGAAGGGCGGGAAGGGACCAAAGGGAAGCAAAGAACCCTATCCGTTAACGCCTGAAAACCAGAAATACCCTACTAGCAACTTTCGCTGGAACCCAAAAAGGAGGTTCCTCTTAAAAATGTTGGCTTCCATGTCAGTTTGCAGGAGCGCACTCTGTGTGGTTCGTTTCAAACGCGGGCGACCACTCCCCATATGCAAAAGAACCAGTCGCGCAAACAAGCTTACACAACTCCTGCAGGAACCTGCGCTGCTTCTCCTTTTTCACATCTTTGCGATCGCTACGACAGCTTGCTGCTCCACATCTCGCTGGCGCAGACATAGCGCCGCTGCCAAGACTTTAGAGAACAGGAGATGCGGGCTGCACGAAGGAAGCGAATTCGGGACATATGCTTTGCAGCTTGACCAGGTAGAGTCTATCGTGCCAGTGTGGCAGACAACATTTCGCGTCCTCGAAAAAACATCTGTGGTCAGGCGTGCTTGTTACGAAGGAGTCGAGCGGGTGCGCTTACGATGGTCAAGCGTGCGCGCAGTGCTATACCGCAGCAGTCGGGCGGCGGTGCTTGCCATTGTCAGGCGCGCGCGCGCAGTGTTGGAACGCAGCAGTCGGCGGGTTTGCCATGGTCAGGCGTGCGCGCAGTGTTATAACGCAGCAGTCGGGCAGGTGAGCTTACCACTGTCAGGCGTGCGCGCAGTGGTAGAATGCAGGAGTCGGGCGGGGGTGCTTACCATGGTCAGGCGTGCGCGCAAGGTTATAACAACGCAGCAGTTGGGCGGGCGCGCGCACCATGGTCAGAAGCGCGCGCAGTGTTAGAACGCAGCAGTCGGGCGGGAGCGCTCGCCATGGTCAGGAGCACGCGCAGTGTTGCAACGCAGCAGTTGGGCGGGCGTGCTCACTCAAGCGGGCGCGCTTACGATTGTCAGGCGCGCACGCAGTGTTATCACGCAGCAGTCGGGCGGGTGTGCTTACCATGGTCCGGCGTGCGCGCAGTGTTGTAACGAAGTACTCACCATGGTCAGGCGTGCTATAACGAAGCAGTCAAGCGGGCGCGCTTCTCATGGTCAGGCGTGCGCGCAGTGCCAGGGCCAAGCAGTGGTGCGGGCGTGCTATGCAGGGTTGCAGGAAAAAAGCGCACGCCGTTGAGCGCGGTTTCTGGTCCGCTAGCAAAAACTTGGTGAATGTTTTTGCGAAATATTCAACATTTCAGAAGCTTTGGCAACCCCTTTTGGTTGGTTTTGAGGCACCACCATTCACTTGGGCTGCTGAAATTGCTCGAGCTCCCTTGCGCTGGTGCGAGTAGGGGATCCATGCCCACCGCTTTTGTTTTTCAGCGGGCTAACTTACACATTCTGTAAGTGGGCTTAACCCAGACATTAGCGAGCGGGGCGCTCCACAGGTCGGGAAGATGCTGTCAAGATTAAAAAGAAACATTGGGGAAACCTGGAAGGGGCCATGTGGAAGGGCAACGTTCGACTCATGCAAAATGGGGCCACGCCCTTTAGCAGGCAGCGCGGGGATGCGACTATTCCATCCTGGTGTTCCCCGCCTGGAAAATAGCTTGCAGTCATTGTCTGTCTGTCGGAGTACCCTGAAGAAATGCACGCCCCTACACACAATGCCCACCATTTTTAGGGTATGGCGTCAGAGACCTTGCTTCACGCAGGCGCGGTGCCCCACCCACTCCTTCAGCAGGCTCAAGTGTGCCTGGCCGTCGTTCAGCGCTCGCCAACCAAAATGTGGAGCTGGCGGTGTCCCCAACAGGCAAAAGGGACCTTCCTGCTGCAAGCCGCCTGCGCAGAACCCAAACCTTCCAGCTGTTGGGGAGGCAAAGTGGGCAGCAGATGTGTCCTTCTTTGGTGGCTCTGATTCTCTTCAGGATTCCGAATTCCCCCACGCCCGTGAATTCGTTTCCCCGAAGTATCCCCAACCTTCCCGTCATTTCACCCCCTACTCCAAACACCCTCTACTTTTGGGGTACTATGTCAGCTCTACTACAGTTCAGTTCAGCCGGCATAGAGAGTCGGAAACTCGCGCCTTCTTTGCATGCATGAGTTGCAAGACCTTCGACCTACCTCGTCGGGTCCTCAACTTGCGCCTGCTGCACTGGCATCAAGTAAAAAGCTGCAAAAACCTTTGCTCTGCATCGTCAGGCTCAGGCCACACATGTGTGCTATGCAAGACAGAAAGGTGCGAGAGAAAGCACGTTGCAAGTCCCTTGCTCAAAGCCGAAGAAAGCTCAACTGCAGAATCAACACTGCAAGCGCCACCGTTGATACACACAGCAGACAGCCCCGGGCGGGCGCGCGGGCGGAAATTCTCTAAGATGGCATGAGGGTTGCAAACTTTCTGAAAACGAGCTTTGTAGGCCTTTCCGGGACCCCTGCCCAGTGCCCCTGTTTACTTGCAATTGTGGACATCCGCTCAAGAGAGGCAAGCCACTTGATCTGGGGAAGACTGGAACAGCAGGGTGTTGCTGGCAGCAATTACTTTGAGCTCGCGGAAGGTGCGTTGGGGTAGCCCCACAACTTGTCACCTCACAGAGGGCGGCCCGTGTGTCCCTTGCGGTGGGCCTTTTCTCGCGCTCCGCGCCAGGTGTCACAAGGTATCTCTGCAAAGGCACCTGCGAAGCGCTCAGCACGGGCCAAGCCTATCAACCGCTCAACACTTCTGTGGATTGCGCAGTCCTCGCAATGCGCTAAGTCAAGGGTGATGATGTCGACCTCGTAAGGCAGACCTGACGGTAGAGCCTTGATCCAAAAGCACAAGCTGTCTTGTGGAGGAGGGCTTAATCGCAGGTGCAGATCGTAGTACACAGGACAACCTAGACGCAGGCCTTTGAGGGGTCTTGGTGCGGCACACGCTGGGTCGCGCCGGAACGCAAGCTGCCTGTCCTCGGACTCAAGCCTAGCGGCTTGTGCTGCAAAGTCGGCCCTCGCAGGGCTGTGGCCGCTGCACCTGTTGCACCGCTTTTGACAAGAAGGCGCTTCGGAGCGAGCGTTGGGTCCTGCTGATGTGCCAGCGGGCGCAAGAGGAGCACGCGTATTCTGGGCAGCTTGGCTGATCTGTGGCCGCGCAGCCATTCAGGAGGGGCATGCATAGGGTACACGACAAATTACGACTGATGTGTCACATGCAAGGTTACGCAGAGCGCAGGCAAGGCAGGCAGACCCACGACTAAGCATGTGACTCTGTAGGCGCTCTGTGTGAAAGCACTGCCTTCAGGCAGGCGATGCAGAAAGTCTGTTCTGCGAAGGGTGCATAATATGGTGAACATGCAGGCGATGCATAGACAAGGTGTTGGGGTTGGCAAACAAGGCGTCGCAGTCAGGGCAGTGGAGCACAGGCGTGGCCAAGGCGTTTTTGACGACCGTAGGCTGTGCGAAAACAATACCGGCTTCGCGCAACATGCTCTGCACACAGCGCCGCCACGACAAAAGATCGGTGGTCATGCTGTGCTGGCGTATGGAAATGGCACAAGCTTGTTTGACCAGGCCGAATGCAAAGTCGCACTCGCTCCCAAGTGGGCTGCCCTTGCAGCTTTGTCAGCCTGCCGGGCAGCTGATTTCTGCAGCCAATGCATGTCAGCTCGGGCAAGACCTAACCAGGCATGCAGACTGAGCTCAGCTTCAACTTGCAGAATTCGCCACAGCTCCGGCGGACCTCGGGTTACAAGGTCACGCAAGCGCATAAGGCGGTGTTTGCGGGGCTGGTCCTCGAGCGCGAGCATTTGACCTGCGGCCAGCACCTGCCCGCAGCACGGCACGCCCTGGCGTAGAAGCGCTGCAGAACGGCCAGCGCGCCGGGCCTCAAAGCCTTCCAGCAGCCAGCATTGCAGAAAAGCTTTGATAGCACGCGGCTTCGAGAACGATGACCCGTGAAGCGCGAGAGATGCAAGGGTTGCTGAACACTGTTTTGCGCAACGACCTCTACTACAGCAGACTGGAAAATCGATTTGTTTCATCAAAACAAACAAACTCTGAAAACATTGACCACGGTTGGCCCGAAAGCATCACAGCCCCGTGACCATTCTGCGAAAGTTGCTCTGGGCAAGGTGCTTTGCGCAAACTGGTCTGTGCAAGTTGCTCTGCGCAAGTTGCTCCGCGCAAGTTGCTCTGTGCAAGTTGCTCTGTGCAAGTGCTCCGTGCAAGTTGCTCCGTGCAAGTTGCTCCCTGCAAGTTGCTCTGTGCAAGTTGCTCTGTGCAAAGTTGCTGCGCGCAAGTTGCGCTGCGCAAGTTGCTTTGTGCAAGCTGCTCTGTGCAAGAAGCTCTGTGCAAATGTCTCTGTACAAGTTGCTCTGTGCAAGTTGTTCTGTGCAAGTTGTTCTGTGCAAGTTGCTCTGCGCAAGTCGCTGCGCGCAAGTTGCTCTGCGCAAGTCGCTGCGCGCAAGTTGCTCTGCACAAGTTGCTCTGTCAAAGTTGCTCTGCGCAAATTGCTCTGTGCAAGCTGCTCTGTGCAAGTTACTCTGTGCAAGTTGCTCTGCGCAAGTTGCTCTGCGCAAGTTGCTCTGGGCAAGGCGCTCTGCGCAAACTGGTCGGTGCAAGTTGGTCTGCGCAAGTTGCTCTGCGCAAGTTGCTCCGCGAAAGTTGCTCCGTGCAAGTTGGTCCCTGCAAGTGGCTCCCTGCAAGTTGCTCTGTGCAAATTGCTCCGTGCAAGTTGCTCCCTGCAAGTTGCTCTGTGCAAGCTGCTCTGCGCAAGTTGCTCTGTGCAAGTTGCTCTGCATAAGTTGCTCTGCGCGCGTTGCTCTAGGCAAGGCGCTCTGCGCAAACTGGTCTGTGCAAGTTCTCTGCGCAAGTTGCTCTGCGCAAAATGGTCTGTGCAACTTGCTCTGCGCAAGTTGCTTTATGCAAGTTGCTCCGTGCTGCTTGCGAAGCACCGCGGACCAGGGGTGCATCGAACCCGCGACCCGCCGGTCCCGGGAGCAGGCGCGCGAACCACGAGACAACTCCCGAGGGCCAGTTCGAACAACAAAAGACGCAAAAAACCTCGAGTTTTTGCACCTCGACCACGCCGATCCCCGCAGAGGGTCGCGCGAGCACCGCAGAAATCGAAATCGCAAAAAAACCTCGAGTTTTTGCACCTCGACCACGCTGATCCCCGCAGAGGGTCGCGCGGGCCCAAGCAATCGCAAAAAACCTCGAGTTTTTGCACCTCGACCACGCCAATCCCCGCAGAGGGTCGATTTTCGTGTAGTGTCGTCGGCACTACCCCGCCGCCCTAAGAAGAGATTTTGACTCCTCGCAAGTCAATTGCACTTGACGTCATTGCAAGGAGTCATTGCAAGGAGTCGTTGCAAGGAGTCATTGCAAGGAGTCATTGCAAGGAGTCATTGCAAGGAGTCATGAGGGTCATTGGAAGTTGCAAGGAGCCAAGTGCATGGAGTCAAGTGCAAGTTGCAAGTGCATGGAGTCAAGTACAAGTTGCAAGTTCAAGGAGCCAAGTGCAAGGCGCAGGTGCATGGAGTCAAGTGCAACTTGCAAGTGCGTGGAGTCAAGTGCAACTTGCAAGTGCAAGGAGTCAAGTGCAAGTTGCAAGTGCAAGGATCCTTGCAATGACTTGCAGGATGATGATTCCTTGCAATGACACCTTGCAATGACTTTCATGATGATGATTCCTTGCAATGACTCCTTGCAATGACTCTCACGAGAACAACTCAGTGAACCCAGCGGAAGAACCCTTCGCCGTGCTTTCGGGAAAAGAGTCGGAAAACAGACGACCAAACCGACCGATCGTGTTTTTTTGGTTTTCAAGAAGAAAACAAAACCTGCAACAAGATTTCGGCCGGGTCTTCGGAGTCGGGGAGGTCTCCCGACGCAGAAAACCGATCGCCTCCAACTCGTGGGCTTCGGCGGCGCTCACCGCGCCCAGCCTCGACACTCGCACAGAAATTTATCGCGGGCGATGGGGGAGAAAAAAAAAAAAAAACGGAAACCATACATGTATTTAGTTATTTATTTATTTATACATATATACATACGTATATATATATATACATATATATATATATATATGTATATACGCCCGGAGCCTCAAGAGTCCAACTTAAAAAAGGGTGAGTGCAGAAGAAGAAAAAAAAGTTGGGTGAAGTGTCTTTCTTTAGTAGTTTGAGGGTCCAGTGGCGCGTCTGTAGGATCGTCATTGGCTGCAAATGCAAATAGAAGAGCCTGAGCTGAAACCGAGTGCCGTATTTCTCCTCACCTTTCCTCTGAATGCAGCGCGTCTGACCTCCGCCTGTGATGCTCTGCTACAAACTTGGGATCCGGTGATCTTCAATGCAAAGCTTTCAACATGTACACCAGGTCCAAATGAGCTCAACTTTGCCGGGGGGTCGGCTGCGTGACAAACTTCTGCATGGCACTTCTTTTTCAGTAACCCCGCACCAGTTGTTGAAACTTCAAAGGTCAAGCACAGGTTCATCAGCAGCTACTGCGAAGCCCATAAGAAGAAAGGTATGCATCACTGATTATCACTGCTGCAGATCAACTTAATACAGTTGAACTTCTGCTGGAAAACGGTCAGCGGTGTGCTGATAGTATTGACATCAAATAATCTCTGTTGAGAAAGACATGTCTCTCGCCGACTTCGCAGTCTTTGGTGCAAATGCAGCAGCGATGACGGATTCTATTCGCCTGGAGTCGAACTGGGAAAGGGTACCATACAAAACATCCCTTGAGAACGTGCCCAAAAAGGGTACCATCAAACAAATCCTCTTAAAACTTTACAATCACCCCAAAAGGGAATCACTCCTAAATTCGTTTGTCCTTTTTGAGGGCCCCCCCTAAAATGGTGGTTTGCCTTTTGGTTTCATAAAAACCCACCCCGAAAACCGGGGGGCCAACTCAAGGACGAGCTTTCGGAAACCAAAAGGGCCCCGACAGGCGCTGCGCATCGTCGAAGCCCCAGCGCCTGCGAGGGAGCTATCCCACCCCTCTCAGTTGCCCAGTTTGGACTTTTGGCCCCAGAAATATAGAAGCTCAACCTTTTGGGGCCAAAGATGGAAACCAAACATCGGAAAATGAAAAGCTGAAAAGGTCGTCTTCTCGGGCAAGGCTCAGTAAGGCCTTGTTAAGGGCTTATCCTTGGCTTATCCTGGGCTTGTCCCGGCCCAATTGCGGGTCCATGGTTGCGGGTCAACCCTCCAATTGAAGAGGGACGCTTCACAATATGTGTATACATAATACATATATAGCTATGTATAGGCTAGGTCCTCCAGTAGAGAGGTTAAAATAAGGGTACCCTTTTTTCTGGTTTGTCTATTTTAGCAGGGGAACCCTCCCCCCAAAAAGAACTGGTAAAAGTTGGCACCTAGCTGGGGGACCTAGTAGGGAATCCTGTTTTTGTTCAATCAAATCACCTGAAAGGACACTCACACCTGGCCTCTTAAACTCAGAACAGGACGCATGGTACATGTGTAGAGGATAGACTTGGTTGACGTTGGGTTTGGGGAGCAAAGAAAACATGACAACAACAGTTAAGTGGTTGGAGTTCAACCACTAAACCACAATAAGTAAAAATGTAAAATGCTTCCCAGCAACAACCATGTAGCAGGACTCCTGACTTAAATGGAGAATGGGTGCTACGGGGCAGAAAGAGAACGAACACCTGGACGATCCTCATCTCAGTTGTTCAGTGACCCTGGAAAAAACGGAACCCTTTTTGGGGAAGACCATTTTTAGTGGGGCCACCAAAAAATAGAAAAAACATTGGTGCCACTGAACAACTGAGTCATTTCCTCCCCTGGTTAACATGGAACCCACCAATCCCCCCCCCCCATTTTCTGGCTCGGAATCCTTCTTTGTAGCCCCACGGGTGCTTTTCCGTCTAAAAACGGGTGATGGCTGGGTTTCCTTCAATTTACCCTCCAGACAAGCTTCAAACACAACCTCCGATACAAACCACCAATTAAGGGCTAACTGAAAATTGCCACCTGCAACCGTTTTCCCTTAAACCACAAACAAACACACGGCCTCAAAGAATGACACGCCCTTCTCCTCTCTCGGCGAAGTTTCTCCCGATTTCTCGCCTCGCCAGCGCGTCGGCCGCCTCCAGGGTCGCCGCGGATTTCAGCTCCGCAGACAGCTGCCGCGCCAGACTGGGCAAGTGTGCCATGGGCAACTCCTGCCGTGTGGTCATGGGTCCCTCACTAGGAATCAACCAAAACTCCTGGGTCCTCCAGTAGAGAGGTTGGAATAAGGCTACCCTTTTTCTGGTTTGTCTACTTTACGGGAAGCCTCCCCCCAAAAAAGAACTGGCAAACGTTGGCACCTTGGGGGACCTGGATGAGCATTACGCGAACTCCAAGGAGCCGGTCTTTTGACCTCTGGCGCATGTGGATTGGGAGCGGTTTGAGGTGAAGGGTACCACAGGCACCAGAGATGCCAATTGGAGTGTGTGTTGAGGCGAAGGGTGCCCTTTTGGGTGGGTTTAAAGGGAAACCAGAAGGAGTCCAACCGTTTTGGGGGGTCCGTATCATATTGTGAGTCAACCGTCTTGGGGCGGAGTGTAGTTCAACCGGGGTGTTTGTAACATGCCCGGACTTTGGTGGGTGACCTCCATGTTTAAAGGGTCAATGGAGACTCACAAACCTATGCTCCAACGGCTCGTCGGCTTCGCCTGGCTGTCAGCGCTAGCTCATCGGAACCTTGGAGCAATCGGAGCGCAGGGTTTTGGGTAGGGCGTGGCTCGGAGTCAAGGTGAAAGTAGATGCCTCAACTTCCTTTGTGGATAATGTTGACCCCCACATTAATAAACCCGTTTATTAATTTGGGGGTGTCGCTGGGTTTAGTGGGGAATCATCACATTGTTGGAGGGGAACACCCCCTTTTAGTAAACTGGGGTTGATTAATATGGCGTCAACATTAAAGGGAATGACTCAGCCAGAGTGCGGGGGGGCATTGCGCCCTTTTATTCAAGCGAAACCAAAGGCCAGAAAGCCACGCCGAGGATTGGTCCTCACGCACCCTAATGTCTGAGGATTGCTCCTCACGTACCCGTGGGATCTAGTTCCTATTTTAAGACACAGCCACATGGGTGTGTGCTTTTTGAAGGATTTTGAGGGTATCTCTTTTTTGATTTCAAAGGAACACCAAAAGGACAACCACTATGTTGGGGTCCCCTAAAAACGACACATGTATCGGGTTCCTTTGGATTTCTTTGGGTTGCAAGTTGCTGGGCAGCGCAGGGCTTTTGAAGATACAAGACAGGGTCCCTTACACGGACCGATTCCCCAAACGCAGGGTGAGCTTACCAGAAAAAAATAGCAGAAACATGTTTCTTGGGGGATTCCATTGTCTGGATGGACAAAATCCATTTCGCACCACGTTGACACCATAGGAAACTATTGTTTGTTGCCATGTACAGGAGTCATTGCAGGGAGGGCTTAGGTGGCGGATTTCGTCCGTCCACAGTATTAATCTGCCGAACTTGCCCAATTCGCCAGGCGAGAGCAGAAGGACAACCCTTTGTTCAGGCTTCTGGGGATCCTTTCAACGCAGTCTCAAAAGTGGAAATGCACTTCTTTCCCTCTCCTGGGAGGGAAAAGGCTGACCCGATGGGAGACGCCTTTCCACAGGAATTGGAACAGGGAGGTCTTGCCAAAGACGAATTCCGCAGTTCAACGAGAGGTGGCATGGTGTCAAAGAAGAGGGACCCACAACCTTATTTTCGACTTGCGCTTGCTGTGTTTCAAGAAAGGCCCACCAAAAACTCGGAAACAGGCGAGAAAACCACTGCCAAAATCCCCTCGGAAAGGAAACCGACAGACTGTTTTAAAGAATGTCTCTACATGCTTACTACTATAGGGCCTAAGTCATTAGAATCGGGGTTGTGGGGCAAACCAACATCAGGCCAGGAGCAAAGCAGAACAATCTGCATGTGTTTATTCTAGTTCCAACACCTGCACTTCTAGTTAAGTCAATAGTCTTCTCACTTCCGAAGGAGTGGAATGGCCAAAAAAGTCTCAACTCTTCGACCACTTAAACGGACCCAAAAACGGAACTCAGGGAGGAAGTCGCTGCCTGAAGTCTCCATGACCCTTTACAAATGGGTCATCAGCCAAAATAATGGGGTCATGGACCGGTCATGGAGACTCTAGGTGTCTCTGTTGCTTAGGCCCCAGCTGTCCGCCTGCCCCTGCGCTCAGCCCGCTTTGGACTAAGGAGTCACGTTTCGGAACGTAAGCTTAATGGCCAACCCCAAGAAACGTAATCCCGGTTCACACCTGGCACGTCCACCATAAAAGCTTTGGCTCCGACCGAGCGCAGACAAGTTTTGGGGGGTGGTTTTCCAGGCGCGTACGAATATATGCCTATTTGTTTATATATATATATATATATATATATGCAGGCGCACATGGTGAATCAGTAAACAAACTCGCCAACCCTAAACAAGTGCCCTGGGAAAGGAACTTGCATCATGCGTGCGCGGTCGCAAGCAAAGACCTTGACTGTGGATGAACGAAATCCTGCTCCACTGTAAAATCATGGGAAATCATTCCAGGGTGTCTTGTGGGAAAGGGAGTTCGTCCGCTTCAAAATCCACGCCGACCATGGAGCAAAAGGGCATCCCTTTGTGTGGGTTCGAAAGGAAGACACCCGAACAAGAAAAGATAAAACTTGGTTGCTGTAACGATCCATCTGCAGAAAGTGAACCACTTTTGTGGGCCCAAATGGAAAATGCTGTTTCAACCAGAAAGTTGAAGTCCGAAGATCCAAACAACTACCCGTAAAGAAAGCTTCACCCCGTCGGAGAAAGCCTCAAGTTGGACTTTCCGAAAGATAAGTTTGCACCGGAACTCAGGGAGTGAGTTCGAGCGCTCCCACCTAGAGCTTGGTAGGAGTACAACATCCATGGCTATCTGTTTTGGTTTGAGGGTACCTGTTTTCTTGGGCTTGCCACAAGGAAACCAAAAGGAAAACCACTGAGGGCTTGTTTTCTTGGGTTTTAAGAAGGAAACCATAAGGAAAACCACTGAGGGTACTTGTTTTCTTCGAGGTTTCAAGGGAAACCCAACAAAAAAAACACCTTCTACCACCGCAACCATCAACGCAGCCCAACAGAAATCACGGCCCGGCCTTGAGTGCCAAGCCCTCCGGCGGCACCTTGCCGATGAAATTGGGGTGGGTGACACGGCGGGTTCTTGGGCCGCCATACTGTGGATGGACGAAATTTGTTCGCACAACGTTGAAACCATAGGAACTATTGTTTGTTGGTATTTACAGTGAAGTCGCTCATTCCAGGCTGCCTTAGGTGGTGCCAAATGGATTTCGTCCATCCGCAGTAGGGAGTTGGGCCCCAATGGTTTTCTTTACAACAATTCGCATGGTAGCAAAGAGCTGACAGTTGTTTGCAGCCCCCTACTAAAAATGGACAGAACCAAAAAAACACAAAGCAACTACCTGGAGACTCCATGACCCTTTAAAAATGCGTCCATGACCCATTATGTTGGCTAAATGACCTTATTTTTAAAGGGTCATGGAGACTCGAGGCAAACGCTTTCTACATATGTCCTGTTTGGGTTTCCTTCTGGTTTCCCTTAACCGACCGAAAGGGGGCCCATGAGTTTGAGAAGCTGGCAAGGGATGACCAACATGTTTTAGTTGGATCAAGATTTGGGTGTGGCTCAAAATTAAACAGGAGGGGCAAACCGCAGGTTTTGGTCCATGTTTTTACTTACCAGGGTTCCATTTTGGCACCGGCTTTTTGAGCCACAGCCATTTGTGGACCTCCAAAGGTGGCTGTGACGGGGCTACCTATTAAACCCAACTTCAGGCTTTAGAAGCTGATCCTTGGCGCTGATTCTGAGCGTATCCATGTTGTGAGGAAATGTCCACGAGTTCTGCCAGATCCCTCCCAAATGAATCATAGACTACTGTCACCAAGCCTCATGGAAACATGCGACGGCAGAGTTCAGGCGCCCCGTACATATCTTTACCATACGGTCCTTGTCAAGCCAGGAAGAACACAACACGCGGCTGTCCCGGGGTTGAAACGGAGCCGAACTTTGTGGTTGAAACGAACCTGGCTCAAGCTTCCAGATTGGTTCAGCTTCAGGAAGCCCCAGAACAATTCTGCTGCACATTCAAGCCGAGGAAAATCTATGGGGTTTAGGGGTTTAGGGTTTAGGGGTTTAGGGGTTTAGGGGGTTTGGGTTTCAGGGTTACGGGGTTTAGGGGTTTGGGGTTTAGGGGTTCTAGGAACAAGGACTTCCATCTCAAGGCAAACAACCACCCAACTCTGACTTTGATCAGGGGCCCGAACGGGCAAAGGTCGATCTGTTGTAGCTTTAACGGAAAGCCCATGTGTTTTTTGGGGCCGGGTCAAGAAGAGCAATCAACAAAGGCCAACAAACAAAAGATTGGCGACCTCTCTGGTTCTTCTTTTTGGCCCAGTCAGGAAGAAGCCTTGGACCCTTTCTGATCTGATTCAGCACCCCACGCACAACACTCACAGGGCCCATGTGAAAGTCAGGCGAGTGGCCCTGCAATAGAGGGCAACAACTCAGGTTTACCCAGATTGGAACTGGGGGAGCTTGAGGTGACAAGAAAAATCGGGCCCCTTGTTCGACGAGGCAAACAAAACTACGCTCTGTGATCCATGGCCTGGTTCAATTCGTTATTTTCTTTCTTTATTGCTTTCTTTCCTTTCCTTTCTTTCTTTCGCGGGATTCAGAAGGTTCAGTGCCTAGGATGGCCTACACTTCCCACAGATTCTCTCCCACCGAGGGGTCGCTTCCCGCTTGCCAGACGCATCGCTTTCCTTTTGAGGACTGTTCGTCTGCTAAATTGAAACATCCCTGCTTTCGAGCAGGCGCTCTGGTCTGCTTAGTTTTGGTTTTCATGTTCCATGTCAACCAGCAATGGAGTTGCAGGGGTCCAAGTCTGGCCCAATTGACCCAAACGGTGAGGGGTTCGCTCCAAACAAGAAGAATATAAAGATCCCTGCTTTCGAGCAGGCGCTCTGGGCACCAACTCGCACTGCAGGCGCCCAGCACGGCAATTTTCAGTCGGCCCGAGGCTCAGGCGGGGCTGATGTTTGGTTCTCAATTTCCGGGCACACCCCAAAGTCGTGGACGTATCCTGTGTAAATCATGCCACCAACAGGTTCCCAATTAGAAACCATGCCCACACGTCCCTTTGGAAGGATGCTCTTGAACCACCGCTCTTCGGGGCACTTGTTACGGGGCGAAAAGAGTCCAAACGATTTCCTGTTACTGTTGCAGTTGTTCAAACTGCCTTTTGAGTGGCCATACCAACCAAGGCGGCTTTCACATGTGAAAATGACAAACTGGTCCGCTTGGTGTTCCACGTATGGTCCCCGGTAGAGGGAAACTCAATCCACAAATTGCCGTTGCTCCAGGGGTTCGCAGCTCAACCAAAGAGCTGTTTTTCCCCGGTGAACATTGAGCCATCCGAGAGCAAGGTTGCGCGCCGTTTCACGCCAAGCAAACCCAACCAACACCAAAGAAAGGAAAGCAGAAGAAAAAAGGATGACCTCCCAGGCGGCCCACCAGGCGCAACCAGTTCAAACTCAGCCCCAAGCCATCCAGTCAGCGACTGCTCCCGGGCCTCTGCGCCCATCGCGAGCAGCCGCTGAACCGCCTCACAGGGAGGAGAAAGTCGAGGGCCCAAGTGGAATTGATCTGGGGATGAGACCTTGCTTATGAGGTAATTTGTTGACTCCGGATTTATCAACCCCAGTTTTTATGAATACGGTGTGCGATTCTGGGTTTAGTGGGGAATCAGACCACTTTTGGAGGGGCCCCCAGCAACATCAATTCCAAGCTCAGTACTTGGATGCTCAAGAATTGAAAGGGACAGCATGATTAAATGGCAAGGATCCATTGTGTGACCTTCCAACACAAATACTAAAGCAATAATTTTTATCCAACGAAGCCAAGGAAGGAACCGGGGTAGTTTTTTCTGTGAGGGTCCGGCGATGGAAGGAATGTGGCATTGTAAAAGGGAGCCATTCACTTTCAGGGAAGCCGGGCGCCTTTATTGATCCACCAAGTTGATGAAGAAGTGAAGGATCCTCTGCAAACTAGCACACCCCGTATTAATCCGGCATGTATGTCCATTCTTTCACACTAAGAAGCCCTAGCGCGATTAGCGATAATAAGCTACTTCCTGAACTGGTTCGCCATCCAAGCATACCAAGGGAACCTTGTCCACATCGCTCTAGGTTTCAAGAGTCGGAAAAAGACCCCGAGAAAAAACCTGTCCATGCCCTAGTGCACCCATACCTTAGGGCTCATTGTTGAGGAATCCAAAGTAGACTCCTAGTCGGAAAGCCTTGGAGCCCCACAAAACACCTACGTCGCATGTACTTACAGAGTAGTTTGGAGCTTGGCCCACAAAAGCCGGCGCCAACAAGATCTCATTGGATTTCTCAAGAATGACCCCTAAGGCATGGGTGCAGTAGGGTCAATGAAAGGCTTTTTCGGGGTCTAGCTCTGGCAACTTGATTTTCGCCCACCCTATATAGACTAGCCTGATCGGAAAACCCAGGAACCTCGAAGTCGGCGATTTCACGCCTCTGCGTGTCCTGCCTCCCCGGCCAGCTTCAGCCTAAAGTTGAGATGGCGGTGCATACCGTACGAAAAGGGGCAGGGTTCTAGGGGTTGATTCCCCCCCCAGGGTTTTTGGTGGTTTTCTAGAAAGAAGGATGCCCTTGAAGGGGTCAATTTTCCAGAGATCTACAAATGGGTGTTTCTTGGGCTCCATATCCTCCATTTGCTTAAGTGTGGAAAAAACATCCAGTGATAGACTCCATTAAAACAAGAGGAAAACAAGTATATTCGGAAGTTCCATATCCTCCAGTTGCTTAAGCCCCTTTTTGAAACCAGGGGAACAAATCAAGCATATTAAACTCAGGTGTGAAGAGAACAAAGACTCAAACAAGCACTTGTCAAAAAGGCAACTGAAGATTTGGATTATTCTCCATTTGTTTAAATCCCCCAAAAATAAAACATATGTCCCGAGGTGATAGATGTGTCTTTTCAAACCAACAGGCGAAAAGACAAAATACTCTGAAACGCAAATAGAACTCAGTTGCCCAAAGGACCCGGAAGGTGATCACCTTTTGGGGCCACGACTAAAAATGGACCAAACAGAAAGCAGGGGGAACTAAAAGGCTAGGTCCAGTAGAGAGGTACCCTTTTTCTCCGTGGTCTATTTTAGTAGGGGAAGCCTCCCCCCAAAAAAGGGTGAGAAAGGGAGAAGGTGGGAAGGTCGGCTTGGAGCCCCCCGCCGTGGCAAAAACGTCGCCCCGCTTGGGGCTGCGGCGGTGTCATGCCGTCGCCAGCGGGTTGGTTCAGATCCGCTCGGTGGATGACCAGGAGGCGGAGCATCTGCGCCGAGGCGCTGGAACGTCCAGGCTGGAATTAGGACCCCAGCCAAAACCTATATGTTTTGCCTGGGTAGTGGACAAACAAAGGGGACCAAAAAAAAACCAAAAAAAAACATAATAATAATAATAATAATAAAACAAAAAAACGGAACTCATTGTGGGTGGATAGACGAAATCCACCAGTTGGAATGAGGGTACACCACCTACAGTAGGGTACCAATCGCAGAGCAAGCAAAAAGGTTGAAGTTGGCAATGTTGGTTGCAACTGCGGCAGGCGGCTAAGCGCGGCTAGAAGGTTTCAATTGGTTGGATTGGTGGTTTGGATTGGATTTTAACCTCTGGTTCTTGTGGGTAAATGGGAATCCACCACAGAATCTCAGTTGCCCACAGGACGCAGAAGGAGCACCTTTTGGGGCCAGCGAAAATGGAACAGGGGGAACAACAAGGTCAAATGCTCGGCTTTGGGAAAGCGAGAAATAGTCGGCGGTCCAAGAATCAGCCCCTTGGTGTTGAAAAGGACTCGACCCAGAGAATACCAGAAGAAAATATAAAAATAAAAACAATAACGGACCAGGGTGGACTCGAACCACCATTGACATGGCGTAGCGAATGCTCGACAGCAATGACAGCTTTTCTTGACTGGTGCTGTCTCTCCAAGATGGACACCTGGCATGCAACATTGCTGTTCCATCGGGGGCACGTTTTGGCGCGTGGTTCTGGAATTCAAATCTTCCTTCCTGCGAAGATGTAAGCTAGGTCCTCCAGTAGAGGGGTTCGAATAAGGGCCACTTTTTCCGTAGTCTATTTTGGTAGGGACCCCTGCTCCAAAAAAGGGTGAGAAAGGGCACTACTGGGGGACCTAGTAAGATTGGCCAGGTTTGCGGTTCATTCACGTGCAACATCTGACCAAAGTAAAGGGATATATCCAGGTCTTGCCTCAATGTGCCCGTTCAGCGCCGCCAGCATCACGGCGGTTTCCTGAGAGTCCAGTTGCTTCCTTTGGGTTGCCCTGCAAAAACAAATTCCCCTTAGAAGCAATCCGTGAGCTGGTTTCTACCTCATGGTCTCTCTGTTTGGGACACTTCTTCCCCTGTCTGACCTAGAAATTCCAAGAGCTCCAAAGAATCTGCTTTGTCAGTCCTGGGGCGACACCCAACAACCTCTATTTCGACACCTAAGCGGAACGAGCTGCCGGTGGGGCGTCAAGACCCAGGTAAAACCTGGCCCACGCATTGGAACGCCAAAAGAAAACCAAAGCAGCGTGCGACCAGATCAATGTCTCTACAAGGTACCCAGTGCGCACGAACGTGGACCCCAGAGGACAGCAGGAAATGGTCCCTCCAGGAGGCAACTGGTCCTCCAAAGGTGCCATGTTAGTGGGAGGAAGGATACCCTTTTGGGCTTGGTACCAGTTATGGGTATGACTCTGTCACTGTTGAGTGGATTCCGGTCGCATGGGTCCACAACCAGTGTGTCCTTTTGCCATAAGTGGCTGTATCAAATGAGTTGAAGCGTCCCAAATGGCAAATGCCCTGTGTATGTTGGTACCCCGATTTTCATCGCCCTTAAGGCGGCTGTCTTTCCGGAGCAGGATCAAAGAACTGCCTGGTTGGTTGCCCACGTACTTCTCATGGGGAGCGGGGGGTAAAGATGGTATATGGACCTGGAGCTGGCACCGAGCAATGAAAAAGCACAGAGTCCTCGTGAAAGAAACAACATGTGAGCGGGGCGCGCTTATCACCACCCAGATCAAGTGGAGGCAACTGGTGGCGTTTAAGCCAGCCTTCTAGGGGCGCAATACCCCGCGGCTAAATCCTACACCCCTTCAGCACCCCACTTTACACTTCTTCTGCACGGAGAAACACATATGCACCTTTCCGAGGATTGGACAAGCTCTGCCAAAAGATCTAGGGAGCTCCGCCAAAGACCGAGCCGTCTCAAAAATGCGCAAAGACTGCGCAAAGGCACGGCCCCTTCAGCCAACCATTGGATTCCAGGGATCCGAATCTTTCCAGAAAACGACCAGAAGCGGGGAAACGGCTGCTGTAACTGAAAAGGAAAAGAAGCGTTGCAAACAACGGTTTTTAAAGCACATGTCAGATCAGGGGAAACTCAGGGCAAAACACCTGGTGAAACAGTTAGTCCTCTAAACTTGCTGGCAGGCTAGACATTTGGCCAAAAAATTGGGGAACCCCAACAAAGTGGGCAAATTGATTGGTTTTCTGTTTATCTCTACTCTTGGTATGGTAGCAAAACAACTTTGTATTTTGCAGACCCCCAGTAAAAATGAACAGAACCAAAAAACTAAAAAACAAAAAAACATGCCAAGAACAGTGAAGTGTTGGTTTCCCTTTGAAACATACTACCAGGGGATCCCTTGCAACATGACACAGCCGTATGTTTTGAACTGAAAACATGTTTTAATGCTGATCTCAAAAGCCATGGAAAGAGAAGGATCTGGTCCATACTGCTCCTTAGCCCCCAACACGGTCGATGGACGAAATCCCGCACCATCGTTCAGAAACCCTGTGATTCAACGTCCCCTGCACATACCAACAGAGCCAAGGAAACAAACACTGGGATAAACAAGCCAAGGAGAATCTATCCATGTTCAACCACGAGCATGCAGCATAGGCCAGATACCAAAAAACCCTGCCACGGCGAAGATCACTTGGCTTCCCTCTCGGTGGCTTGGAGGCGTTCCCATGTCTGGGTCAACGGGTGATCACCTTTCAGAGCCTCGAACACACCATGGACACCCGAAAACAAAAAGAAGCAAAGATCGACAGCGGTCTTTTCCCTTTCCTCTAAAAAAAACGGAAACCCGAGAAAGAGTTCAAAGATCCAAAGAGTCTCTTTTCTTTTCTTTTTTGCCCAGATCAACAGGGTCTTGGGTCGTTTTCGCCCGAGCGAGTCCACTTGACGCAGCTTTGGCCAACCTTTGACATCCGCCCAAAGGCCGCGCTTCGTCCGACGCGTGCGAAGCTCGGTTTGCCGTTCGCGTGGGAGCCCCGGCGCCGTCGAGGCCCTGCGGCTCCAAGGAGGCCTTCCCCTGCGAACGGCGTGTTTTTTAGTTGTTTTTTGGGGGTGGGGGAATCCTTTGAGTGGGTGAACGCGGTTTCTTTCTTATCTTTCTTTCTTTTGGGGTGGAATCCTCACCTGAATGGAGTGACCAACAAGAGCAACCTGGAGCTTGCTAGCTGCCCAAATGGTCCAGACCACAGTCTAAACTCCGAAAAATTGAGAACATATGTCCGTTTCCAGATTGGATTCCCGCAACCAGCCTGAAACAACCCCTGATCACTTCACGCAAATGGTTCGGCTCAACTATCCACTTCCCACTGGACCTTCAAGATTGCACAACCTCTCAGGCTACTTCTCATGGCTGGGCTCCCATGGCTCCAGCGTCCTTTGGGGAGCAAATCGATTCGGGTTTCCCTGCATGGATAGCAAACCCGAATCCAAACCGGCGGCTTCGATTTGTCTAAGGGCAAGGGGGTTGTTTGCGCAGGGCGAGCTGGTGGAAATCAATTGACCTGCTTGGATTCAGATCGTTTCCCGATATTTGCTGTGGCTGTTCCAACCATTCAACTTCGTACAACCTCTGCACCCACCCACTCCTCTCCTCCTCACCACTGTCACAGACTCCTTGATTCCCCAAAAAAAGGGCTCCCATCAACATGCAACCACTTGATATCAAAACGCCGCGGAGTCCAACAAATCGCGTTGGAGTTCGCCAGACATACTCAAGCTTCTTGAGGGTCAAAGCAGTTACCGACCGAACGTCCCACGCCGGCCACACAAAACGCACTTGTGAATTCGATCCGCGGCTGACCCGACATGTTCAAAGGCAACCAAGAAGCATAAACTGTTATCTGACTGAAGTAACTATATTGTTTCAGTTTGGAGACCCCTGCCATCTTCAGGCACTTTCAAGGAAAAAAAAGCTCAACCCTCCTCTTGTGACCATCTTTTCCAAACGCAACCCACCCTTTTCGGGGAAAAACCTGCGCCTCGTTTGCCAGTGCCACCCTTGCCGAGTCGTCGCCTCCAGCAGCCGCCGGGCTGTGGCCACGTGGCCCTGCTGCGCTGTGGCCATGAGAGGCGTCCAGCCCTGGAGGTCCTGCGACCGACCGACGCGGAGGCGACGGACGCAGCGACGGAGTCGCTGAAAGATGCCGCGCGACAAGGGAAAGGGTGTTAGAGGGAAACCCAAAAAAAACACGAAGCACTTTGGGGGTGCCTAAAAACAAGAACCTAGAGTCTCCATGACCCTTAAAAAATGGGTCCATGACCCCTTAATTTTGGGTAATGACACCTTTTTTTTCAGGGTCAGAAGGAGACTCCAGGAACACGCAAATATCTTCTAAGGCCCCTCCCAACTTTTTTGGGACCCCGCCAGGTTGTGGCGATCCTGCGCGTCCAGGGAGCATGGCAGCAAGATGTCCAGCAGCGCCTGGAAGCGAAAAAAACCCGTCGCTTTTGGCTTCTCATGCTTCAAAACCAAGGAAAAATGGGCACCCTCAAAAAACACACACCCAGATTCAGGTTGGCTCAATTGAATCATAATCAAACCTCCACCCGGAACCAGGTAAAGATGACAAAGCTGGCTGCGCCCATTTATGGTTGGGATGGTCCCTAACCAACCCGCGTCTCCCGTTTTGTTTCTTCTTCCGATTGTGACCCAATTGACTGCTTCTAAGCAACAGAAGCAAGTCACACTCAGGGAAGGTTTCACATTTTGCAGGGTGTCAAAGACCGACATCCACTGGAACCCCAAAACTGCAACTGCTTTTTGAGCCGCCCCTCTTGGAAATACAAACGGTTCTGCGCAGGGTTGGCTGCGCTGAAAACAAAACGCACACCTCCCAGCGAGTTGGTGGGTTCTGGTTTTAAAGTATTGGCTCCATTGGCTGCTTCAAAGCAGGAGAAACCAACAAAAATCAAAGGCTGAATGTATAGGCCCTTGCATGAACCATGGCCAGCTCGGACCCTTTGGGGGATAATTTTCCATAACTAAGCCATGACTAAAAAAATCGGGTTCATGCCAGGGGTTCATAGATAAACAAATACATTCAGCCTTTGAACAATACACAAGTCGTCCATATATCTGTCTTGTCTTGAATTGGTACCTTTGCTGGTGGGTTCTAAAAATAATGCAACAGGAAACCCACCATTTTGGAGGGTCCATTCTTCGGGCATGGACGCAGCACCCTCTTCCCAACATGGAAGTGAACGATTGGGTGTGGGAAGGCCACACCTCTTGAAAGCAAGAAAGAGGGTAGCAAAAACAAACGTTGCTTCTCCCCCCCTGCAACACTGTGTATCCCGAAATTGGGTAAAGCTTTGCATCTTCCCAAACCCACTTTGACAGGCGCCAACCCCCTGGCGTCACAGTGGTGTATATTGGGATCAACGAACAAGGGTACCCTCAAAAAGCACACACCCAACCAGTGATACCCCACAAGGGCAGATGAAAAGCTCCAAAGGCTCCTCTCCAACCCCAAATCACAAGTAACTCACTTCCTCAGTGGAGTCGCCAAAAAAAGAAACCTGGAACTTTTAGTTTACCACTAAAATGGCAACCAGACCCAAAATGTGACTCAAGTCCGGGTTCCGCAACTCAGCGAGTGACCATGCTCTAATGTTGACCCCAAATTTATCAACCCCCTGTCTGTTCGGGGGTGTCAAATTCTGGGTTTGGCGGGGAATCAAACCACTTTTGGAGGGGCCCCCACCTCCCGACTGTGGATGGACGAAATCCTGCACCACCTGAGAAGCCATGGAATGATTCGATTCCCCAACGTAAGCACCAACAAACAAATGGTTTCAAACATGTATCTGTGTTAATAATAAACTGGTTGGCCTATGAATCCGGGGTCCACAATACCAACTTCTGGCCTCTCACTCCACGACCCCCGGACCCCCAGGCCTGCCTCCTGGCCCGTTTCCGCCGCCCAGTGCAGGGGCGACCGCTGCCCCCGGTCCACCACGTCACAGCGCGCCTCAGCTGTATAGAGGCAAGCAAACACGTGTAAATATAGAGAAAAAAGATAGAGATATATCACGTGTGTATATATATATATATGTATACATATGTATATATATATATGTGTATATATATACATATACATACATAGATACGTATAGAAATCCAGCTTTCCTTCCCTGCTGGACGCTATTTGTATGGTTGGATTTATTCTTTGCCAAAGTGTTTGGAGGATGTTCCTAATACGCATCCCCCAGGAAGCGGATGCGCGCAAGGGGCTGTGAAATATTTTGTTTAAAACACATGGGAGACGTGACTAATCAAACCTAAAGAAGAAACATAAGTTTGCTGGCAAGGAGAGCAGCAATTTCCCTAAGCCTCCAGAACCTCAGGGTGCCTGGACGTTCAAACGAGCAGTTGTTTTTTAGATCTGCCTACATCTCATTGTGGACTCCATGGAAAAAAAAGGCCAAGCCGCGTAGGAGAAATTCATCTCGCAGGGGGTTCCTTCCGGGCGTCCTCAACACAGCGCAACAGGTTTCCCTTTAAAACCAAAAAAATGCAGCAACTAAAAACCGCCGAGCCACCCATGCAGATATCGACCATGAAGGCGAAATTCTACTGGTGAGTGCTGTCTGACAAGTACAAACTTGGGGTACACAACGCCACGGCTTCGCAAACCACGCTCGGCCCATTCCTACGCTTTTCGAGGTTCAGGTCTTTGCCCCGACTTGCCCAAAACAAATCAGCATGACAGTTTCGGCCACTGGACAAGTGAACTTGAAGTTGTAAACACAATTCATGGTGCGTAAGCTATAACCAAGACTAACCAAGGTGACAAGTGAACTTAGCCTAGTTAACCACCTCTGACTCGACCTAACTATAACCTGAATAGGGTGGACTTGCATCTGGGTGAGTTGCGATAAGTCACGCACACCAGGGAATGCGAAAGGCACCTTCATGGGCGAAATCAAGTCTTGGGGTGCCCCTTCCACCCCCAAATCAAGTCGGACCCAGGACGGGCTTGTGCGCAAACAGGAAGGTCCAGCTTGATGTTCCTACCCGACAAAGAACCTGAGTACTATAAGGGCTGTTCCATATTTTGGCACTTCAAAATCCGTTCTGGTCAGGAGTTCAACAAAAAACTACTCAGCCCCTATATGCTGTGGGTTGACGAAATCCTGCACCACCTAAGAAACCTGGAATGATGATTCCCCTGTAAATACCGACAAACAACGGTTTCTCATGGTTTCAACGCGGGGCCGGATTTTGTCCATCCACTGTATTACTCATCCTGCTGTACACATTCAAAGGGGGGCCCATCCTAAGCCTGGCGTTTGCTTGGGTGCCCTGCGCGGTGCTGCAATAGGCCTCACTCCATCCCGAGCAAAGGCTCAGCGGTCTTCACCAAAGCGGGCTGTCAAATTGAAAACCATTTTGGGGGTTACCCTACTTTTGAATCATAAGGCTTTACTTTAACCAGCCACCAATTAAAATGGCTTTTACAGGGGGGGGGGGGAGGGGTTGGGTGGGCGCCAAGCTATGAATGTGTGGGTCATGTTCAACCCTAACACCTGGGATTCAAGCGTGCTCTTGGCTCATGATCAACGGCAAAGATGTGTTGCATATCGGGTGCATGACCGCCCTACCAGCCTCAACAGGGCATTTGGCTACTCTTTTGTAGTGGGAGAGGGCAGAATGAGCAGAACCAGCTTAGCCCATGAGGTGCACGGAAAACATACTCTTCAGATTCAGTTTCATATTTTGGCTTCTGTTGCCAACTTTCTTGTCTTTGCTGGGTACCCTCTCCTGTCTTGGCAAGGCGAAGGGCCCCAATAATCCCCATCCACGACTCGTTTCAGCGGCAACCAAGAGGCAATCAACCAGCTTGGGCTCAACTACTTTAGACACCCAATTCAGCAGCGAACATGTATTTGTCTTCCCATACTTTCAGAAAAATCCAAATGCTTGCTGGCTGGAAACCAGCCCCAGTTAACTGTCCCACCGGCTTTTCTGCCTTTCACACACAATATCAACGCCACCAAAAATGGAACATATACAGTACCTGGACCCTCAATGTACCTTAGAATTGGTATCGCTCAAACATGTTGAAAAACTGTCCAACCCTTGATATGGTTGAACAAAAACAATGGCTTTGCAGCCCCGTACTAAAAATACATGCTCGCAATAGTGAAGGACACCTTCAAGGGGCACTGTTCGCCAGCCACGGCCGTTTCCCTTCAACAGGAGCAAGCTAGCAAACTACATCTCAAGCAAATGGACGATTTATCCTGCCACCAATTAACATGGAGCCTTTAACACGAAAATAGTCTTCCAGGACCCTCCTGTCAGGTTGCAGAGGGCCAACTTGTTCTGGGTCAAAACGCCAACTAGGTCCTCCAGTACAGAGGTTGGAATAAGGGTACCCTTTTTCTGTAGTCTATTTTAGTAGGGGAAAACCCCCAAAACAAACAAAAGGGTAAAAGGGCACTACTGGTGGGGGGCCTAGCCAAATAACTTGGAACAGGCCACTTGGATGGCCCTTTGATCGGGTGCCAACAGTTGGGTTCCCAAACTACGGCCCCCTGAGCTACCTAATCCTCAAACTACCCTAGAGAAATTACCCAACTTAGGGTTGTTTGATTTTTTCTGCCAATTTGTCCGGGCAGTTGGAGGGTGCCAGCATTACTTTTGCTGTGTCACGATAGGGGCGCCATAACATGGCTGGCTTTCATCTTGGTTTCCCTTTAAACCAACCTTAGAAAGTGTACCCTTCGCTTCAAAAAACAAACAACCCCATCCTTCGCTTCAAAAAACAAACAACCCCATCCTTCGCTTCAAAAAACAAACAACCCCATCCTTTGCTTCAAAAAACAAACAACCCCATCCTTCGCTTCAAAAACAAACAATCCCATCCTTCGCTTCAGAAAATCACCAACCCCATCCTTCGCTTCAAAAAACAAACAACCCCATGCTTCGCTTCAAAAAACAAACAACGCTTCAAAAAAGTAAACAATCCCATCCTTCGCTTCAAAAAAGTAAACAACCCCATCCTTCGCTTCAAAAAAGTAAACAATCCCATCCTGCACTTCAAAACACAAACAATCCCATCCTACGCTTCAAAAAAGTAAACAATCCCATCCTCGCTTCAAAAAACAAACAACCCCAGCCTTCGCTTCAAAAAGTAAACAATCCCATCCTTCGCTTCAAAAAACAAACAATCCCATCCTCCGCTTCCAACAACAAACAACCCCATCCTTCGCTTCAAAAAAATAACCAATCCCATCCTTCGCTTCAAAAAACAACCAATTCCATCATTCGTTTCAAAAAAGTAAACAATCCCATCCTTTGCTTCAAACAACAAACAATCCCATCCTTCGCTTCAAACAAGTAAACAATCCCATCCTTCGCTTCAAAAAACAAACAACCCCATCCTTCGCTTCAAAAACAAACAACCCCATCCTTCGCTTCAAAAAAGTAAACAACCCCATCCGTCGCTTCAAAAAACAAACAACCCCATCCTTCGCTTCAAAAAACAAACAACCCCATCCTTCGCTTCAGAAAATAAACAATCCCATCCTTCGCTTCAAAAAATCACCAACCCCATCCTTCGCTTCAAACAAAAAAATCATTCGCTTCAAAAATGTAAACAACCCCATCCTTCGCTTAAAAAAAACAAGCAACCCCATCCTTCGCTTCAAAAAACAAACAACCCCATCCTTCGCATCCTTCGCTTCAAACAAGTAAACAATCCCATCCTTCGCTTCAAAAAAGTAAACAATCTCATCCTTCGCTTCAAAAAAACAAACAATCCCATCCTTTGCTTCAAAAAACAAACAACCCCATCCTTCGCTTCAAAAACAAACAACCCCATCCTTCGCTTCAAAAAAGTAACCAATCCCATCCTTCGCTTCAAAAAACAAACAACCCCATCCTTTGCTTCAAAAAACAAACAACCCCATCCTTCGCTTCAAAACAAACAACCCCATCCTTCGCTTCAAAAAAGTATCCAATCCCATCCTTCGCTTCAAAAAACGAACAATCCCATCCTTCGCTTCAAAAAAGTAAACAATCCCATCCTTCGCTTCAAAAACGAACAATCCCATCCTTCGCTGCAAAAACTAACCAATCCCATCCTTTGCTTACAAAAAACACAACAACCCCATCCTTCGCTTCCAAAAAGTAAACAATCCCATCCTTCGCTTCAAAAACGAACAATCCCATCCTTCGCTTCAAAAACTAACCAATCCCATCCTTTGCTTACAAAAAACACAACAACCCCATCCTTCGCTTCCAAAAAGTAAACAACCCATCATTCGCTTCAAAACATAGACAACCCCACACTTTTCACCTCAACCTGTTGGATGCCTTGGCTCGCGGGCTGCGGGCCACTTGCAGGTGCCCCCGGTAGCCTCGGCGTTTCGGCACGCGACTCCCGGGGACGGGCTCCGAGCGCTTCCCGTCGATGGAAAGAAAAGGTTTTGGGTGGGAACCCTTGATCACTTTTAGGTCAAGTGATAATTCTCTTGAATCTTGTCTTCCGCAGTTGGACTCCAAAACCTGTTGCTTTAATCTTCCCCAGTGGGACTCCGGACTCCAAAAGCCTTCTTGATCTGAAAAAGAAGGGTAGCAGCTCAGACTGCCACGGCCATAAAGCACATAAAGAGGTTTGTCCCTGGCACATATGGGGTCCTCAAAGGTGTTTTTGTGTTGATTTCCTTCCCGAAAACTGAGCTACCTTCCGGGCGCGATCCCAAACTTTCAGCCGCAATCGGCTATTTGTTTGTTGCTGTATGCCGATTACACTTCACTTCCTGAGTGGATTCACCAAGGTCGGAATTTCATGTAACGCGATGGTGTTCCCAAGTGGCTCAAGTCCAGGAGCTCGGGGAGTGAGATACATGTACCACATCCAGCGGGGATGAATGGACCCCTGCAAAATATTGGGATAAATGGATGCGGCTCAAGAATCCGACCCCAAAATGGAACCCTGGTAAGTGGAAACATGGACTTTCGCAAGCAAGAATCTGTCTGCCCTTTCATAGTACTGGACTACGGTTGCAGAATGAATAAATATCATGCGAAGAGAACGCAGGCTTTTTAGAAAAAACCAAGCGACCCACACGTGAGGTTTGGGAGAGCAGGCCCTGTCCAGCATGCCAGTAGAATACGGTTGTCGCATCCTCCTCTGTGTGAAATTCATTTTCAAAAACTCTGGCAACCGCTCGCAAAGTCCTGTCTTTGACGGCCAGCACCATGATCAGGAGAGCTTGGCAATGGGGTTTCACGATGCGCGTTGACATCTTTCAAGCAAGCGTAGAATCAGTGGACGACCGTGAGGCTTTGGAAGATGTAGAACACGAATCTGCCTGCGTTGGGCTCCGCAAAGAAAAGCCACTTGATGGTCTAGCTCCCTGACAGAAGTCTCGGAAGCATTGTTTCAATTCTCCATCTGGGAATTCGGCGGTCGCAAAGGTATGGTTTACGTGTGATGGCAAAGGAAAACTCAGCTATTGAATGTATGAGATGTTAGGGTTCTGAGAGGTCCTGAACTCCACGTGGAAAGCAGGGATGAGATGTTTGGGTCCAAAACTATTGTTCTTCCTTGGACACATGCGCAAACCCGAAAAACACGCTGAAGAGAAATGTCTGAAGCCAAAGGCGGCCAAAGCAAGGACAAAACACATGGGTGTGGCTTTGTTTAGAGCTAGTACCATTGTTTTGTGGTTTTGTTGGGGCGTGATTCCTAAAAAACACGAGCCGCCCATTTCAATTGTCAGGGCTTCCGCTTCCGGAAACGACTTCGCTCTGCGTGGGGAGTCTCTTTTTTTTGGAACAAATCCTTGGAGCTTTGGCCAGCTGCCCCCACTACCGGCCAGCCCAAGCACTCACTCCCTCGAGCGATCTCTCGGGCTCTGGCAGGCGTGGCTCAGCGCCTGCGGCGCCCGTTCGCGAACGGCTGGTGAAATCCCTGGAAGGGGAAGCACCAAAAACAACAAAGGAAGGGTGGGTTAGGGTAGGATTCGCTTGGGTCCAAGTAGGGCGGGTTAGGTAGGGTAAGGGTGGGTTGGGGGGGGGGGTCCACAAAGGGGTGAGGGTAGGAAGGGTGGGTGGGGCAAGGTGAGCTTGGGGCCAGATCAAGGTGAAAGGCGAGGGTCCACAAGTCGGGCCTAGCGCAACGAAGGGCAGAGCTGGGTCCACAAACAAGGGCGGGTTTTGTTAGATGGAGACTGGGGTGGGGTTCCGGTAGGTTTGGCCAGGCCAGGTTGAGGTAGGGAACTCCACAATCAAGGGGCACCCCTCTCTCTCTCTCCCTCACTCTGTCAGTCTCTGTATGTTTCTGTCTCCCTCCGTCTCTCTCTCTCTCTCGCTCTCTGTCTGCATGCCTGCCTGCCTGCCTGCCTGCCTGCCTCCTGCCTGCCTGCCTGCCTGTCTGTCTGTCTGTCTGTCTGCCTGTCCCACTGTCCCACTGTATGTCCGTATGTCCGTATGTCCGTATGTCTGTCTGTCTGTCTGTCTGTCTGTCTGTCTGTCTGTCTGTCTGTCTGTCTGTCTGTCTGTCTGTCTGTCTGTCTGTCTGTCTGTCTGTGTGTCTGTGTGTCTGTGTGTCTGTGTGTCTGTGTGTCTGTGTGTCTGTGTGTCTGTGTTTGTGTGTCTGTGGTTAGGACCAGGGTAAGGTGCCAGGTTCAGGTTGGGGGGTCAACAATCAGGGTGGCTCAGGTCAAGATGGGGGGGAGTCCACAACGAAGGGTGGGATAGGATAGGTTGGGCTCGACAAGGTGCGGGGAGATTAGGGTAGGGCTAGGAATTGTGAACCCTTTTTGCATTGACTCCCTGTTCAAATTGGGGCGAACACAAATCAGCACAGAACCGAAAACAACAACATGCCAAAGAAATCAAGCGGGTTCTTTGCCTTTTGAGAATGGCTTTTGATGGATGTTTCAAGAGGTCCTCTGGTATCTTAGGAGGTATCAACCTCCAGGGATTCCAATCGCGCTAATTCAATTTATCGAGTATTGCCAATTTCCAATGGCAAATTGGTGTGTCCAGAGGCGTCCTTTGGGAAAATTGATGGCCGTGCTACATGGAATAAAACCAATCTAGACCTGTGTGCGCACGTGTGTACGCAATGTCATCCCCTCGGAGAAAGCAACAAGGCCAGACCGCAGGAGGGGTTCACGAAGGGGACTGATCAAAGGGTTCTGAGAAACTTTGTGGGAGTCTCTAGTTTTGACACCCTGCCAAATGGTAATACTGTGGATGAACAAAATCCTGCACAACCTAACAAACCCTGGTTTCTGATGATTCCCCGGTAAATACCAACGAATGATGGGTTTCCCATGGTTTCAAAGTGGTGGGAACGAATTTTGGACGGGGCACCCCAAAAAAGAGGCTGAGAAAGACACCGGCAGGCCTTGGGAGTGGGGGGGTGGAGGAATCCCCCAACTAAGCCCTTAACAAGGCCTTACTACAGAACTTTTATACATCACTTGAGCTCCCTCCCCCACCCCCCCCTCCACCCCAACCCATGATTTTTAGTCGCTATTAGCCTTTGACAACCATAGGACTCTGGGAAGAGAACGTGAATGCGCCTCTCCCCGCAAGGCGTCCGACGTTGCATCCATCGAATGGCTACCCTGAATTTCAAGTAAAGCACACCCATGCTTTTGGTTTGCAGGGATAGCACGGCCATGTCAAAGCAGTCATACAGACTAAACATGGCCTGGCTCTGAGGTACGCAAGAACTTCGGGGCAGCTTTGTTGCGTGGCTGTGCTGTGGCTGTATTAGCTAAATTGATGATGGATTGTGGCCCATTTCCTGAAAAGTTCTCATACTCCAATTGGCGCCGATCTAAAATACTTGCTTCCCTATGGGAAGATTGAGTAGGGGAATTAGGGGAAGCCACTCATTTTCATCTCAGGGGGTTGGCATATTTGTTGCGAAGGATCCCCGAAAAGCTAGAGTCAATGTGTCCCTAAGCAGGTTTCAAGGTCAAATCCCAGAGCAAACCAATGTTGGCCAAATGATTAGATGCCACAAGTCCCTTTGCATGGCTAGGTAAAGGGTGACTACACTCCCTCCCACTAACATGGCACCTGACAGGGGGTCCCTTTGAGAGGAAATTGATCTTCCAGATACCTCACAGGTGCCATGCTTGGAGGTAGGGTAAATCAACATACAACTGTGCCATCTACCTTCACCAGACTCAACTGGCTGGTTGCAGCATCGGTGTCCCTTTTCTCCATTGGCACAGCTCCGCGGGAAAAAACTGAAGGCCCGGCTTTCGGTGCAGGACGTCCTTGGATGTTCAATCCACTAGGTGAGAACTAAAGCTATGGTCAACCTTCAACCCTAAACGCAGGACTTATTTTTGCCTTTTGTGCCAATATAAGTCAACCAACCTCTGTTGTCGCACTTATAACCCTGGCTGTAACGTTGTAGCCTACTCACTAAGCAGTTCGAACATCCAAGGGAATTCTGCTGGATCCGGCAGAAAGTTGACTTTCATCAATTGAAAGTCTTCGTGTGCATTGACGTCCAGTGGATTGGCCCAAACAGTATGAGCTTTACACCGCTTTAAAACTGGGCTGCCCTCAGCTCCCCCGCTAAAAGTTTAACTATTAGTGGGTTAAATGGAACCTACCACTAAACACTAAAAGGCTAAAAAGCTAAGAGGATAACTGGGGGCCACCAAGAAAAGGTGTGCGCAAAAGGGTGTACTGAAAGGTCAGGAACCCCATTTTGGAGTGATGGTTGAACCACTGGGATCCAACTGGTGCAACTGCCTGGTCAGATTCTAGGGACGCCGGGCAGGTTCCATGGCAACGTGGATGGGAGGGTATCTGAAATGAAGCTGACTCCCCAATATGGGTCTGTCGATTTTCAATAACACCCCTGTTTGTTGTTGCCTTTTAAAGGGAAGCCAAAGGAAAACCCTCCCATTTGGGGGGAGGGGGGGGGCTCTGATTCCTAGCTTAGACATTTCCGAAATGTATAGGATTTGTGTCGTGGGTGAAGCGCATCCTCTTTGAGTGGACTTGAGCACGGCAAAAATTGCCTTTTCACCCCAAGAGGACATGGGACATTTGCTGAGACTTTGCTGGTTTCGCGGGGAAACAAAACATACCTGGAGTCTCCATGACCCCCAAAAGAACGGGTCCACATTTCGTGTAATGACCAACCATGTCTTAAGGGTCAGAAGGCGACTCCAGGCTGCTTTCCTGCGCCTGGGACCTGGGCCCAAGGAACCGAACCGGTAAGACCATGGGAAGCTGCGGCTGGTGAGCCGGATCCATTGGCATCGGTCACCCAAAGAGACAAAGACTTAAAGATAGACCAAGTTGCCACCTCCCACATGGACCATCTGCATGCCCTGGCCATCGATTGGCCGATCCGATCCACCCTGGGCGCGCCAGTCAGGAAGCCAGGGCTTTAGATCCCCAACCAATCCAAGTCTTTCCACGGGCTTGGATGCATTCATCAAGATGAGAATAGAACAATACATCAAAAACAACAAATACATATATATATATGTATTATTAAACAAACCTTTTGCATTTCCGTAACAACAATGTATACGTTAAAAACCTGTTAAAACCGGCATGGCTTTGTATTTTGTCTAGCTGCAACGAGTCCCATTCTTCGGAGGAAGATGTGACCCACTGAAATATATACCCTGGAGAGCGGATCTCCCACCGAAACTGACAGTGACTAGCCTCGGTTGCTGGTTCCGGCCCCTCTGCGAAAAAGCGAACACAACTTTTCGTGGGTCCAATCCGAAAAATTCCCACAAGGTTTCAACCAAGCTAAAGTCCAAAGATCCGTAACCCAACAGCTGGCCCTTTTGAGTTCCCGCCAAGAAACCACCAAACAGAACCGAGCCAGAGAAGACGAGCCCGTGGCTCTCTCTGATTGCCTCATTTCGTCTTCTTCTTGCCGGCGAAGGTGCTCAGCGCGCCTGGGCTTCGGGCTCCGAGAAACCAACGCAAAAAAAGTCAAGGCAAGCCCAGTGGCCTTCCCAGTTGCCACTATACTGGGCAACCACCCATTTCCTCCGATGTCCTCCTGGTTTTTAAATGATCCGTTTCTTGGCTACCTAATATACAGGGAAATGGAAACAACGCAAACAATGGGGGTGCTTTTCAAGGCCAAGGAAAGCTAGGGAAGCCTTTGCAAGATCTGGGACCTGGCGAGGGCGTTTTTTGGGTCCAGCCATGCGGTGGTCGCCATTCATTCGCCCGGTTGGTTTGACATGGTTCGAGCCTTCCAAACGCAAGTAGATTGGCACAGCTGCTACTTTTCGAGGAACCACACAATTTGAACGTTTGCATGATGTTACAGCACTTGTTCGAGGCTAACCACAAAACAGAAAACAGAGTGTGCTGCATATGGAATTCCAGGGTCAGCATCCCCACTCCTGCACAATCGAGAAATGGGTTTGTTTCACTCTTGAAATGGGTGGTCTCCTTCTTGGGTGTTCGATTCGCAAGCTGGTGAGTTGTTGGTAACCTAGATATGACCCACTTACAACTCCCCCGTTTAAATGTGGGAACTTAATCTTATGTTAGCGGTGAAAAACCCAAGTAGCCAACTACTGACTAACTTGGCCGAGCATCCAAGCTTTACGACCCCAAACAACTTGCTGGTGCTCAGGGAATGAGTTGGAATGACCCTTTTAAACCATCCAACTGGTGGAACTTCCCTTCTTCAAAAAACCTCCAAACCCGTTCATTCAACCACATTTCCCTAGCTATCGCAGCAGCAAGAAAAGCGAGGGCCCCTACTTGGATCTTCCATTCGCCAGGTTAGTACGTGGTTGGCCTGGGTTTATACCGTGGAAACGTATCCGCGTGACCCACGAGCCGATCCCCGCCTTCCACGACCTTCACCTTGCGAGCCAGAGTCTTTCCGGGTCGCTTCAAGATGCATCAATCA